CAAACAAACAAACAAACAAACAGAGAAACAAACAAACGTCCTCCCAGTTCTACTATTATTTGCTTCCTGGCAGCTGTGTAGATTTAATTATTTTAAATCCACAGAGATATATTTTTTTCCCACACGAAACCTCCCCCTCCTGTCAGAAGAGGTGCATCCCATGAGATTGCATAAATCATTCGCTCAGGCTTGCACACCTGTTGAGGTACTACTGTTAAACACATCCCTGATCCATTAAAGCCAATTCTCCCCAGTCTCATGTCCTCAAAAATAATGTATGAGACCACAACACTCAGAATTCCAGGTGAAGAGAGGACTCCTAAACAATAGCAGGCAGTTAAAAGTTCTCTGGACCTCTTTACTACTATCTAGTTATCTGGATTTCTCAGCCTAAATTTGGTAGCCCTGAATAGACCAGATACCTCCAACTTTTTCCATAGATGTTGACAGGGCAAGTGTAAAATGTCAATATGGTAGGTGTGACAACTCAACAGAAACTCTGTCTGTTTTTAATGTGCATTGCTGCATATAAAAAGGAGGCAGAGCTTCGATCATGCACGTGGCTCTTCCATATCGACTTTTTAAAACCACCTCTACCGGGCCAGCATTTTCAGTTGTGCGTAGATTAAAAAACACCCCACTTATATACTTCAGTTCCCAGAATTCCTTTCATCCTGCTGAGTCCCAACATATTTAGAGACTGTCAGGTTGAGAATGGTTGCAATAAAATATACAGTATGTGAGCAATTAACAAAACATCATTACAATTTTGCTGATTGCATCCACAAGAGGCAAAAGGACAAACCTGTATTTTGCAAACCAACATCAGTAGAATGTTTTGTTCGGGGAGCAGCACATCTACTTCTTCCAAAATTGGTCAATTGAAGATCTTGCAAATACAGAAGACTGCAGCAGAGCTTGTTAAAGGCAGCTAAACATCAAGAATATCTATCACGTTGTTTAATGGGTTGTGAAATTCTGGAAGAACTCTTTTAAAAAGTAGACCACCTAACTATCCTTCTCCAAGGAGCAGATTCAGCTTTAAAATAAACAGAAGGACCAAAGCCCCAAAGGAAGTAATACAGTTATTGTAAGATTCAACAGCTTCAAGTAATCTGTGATGACTAAAAACCCAGCCACAAACAATAAAAAAACAATGAATTATGTAGCTGAATTTTATAAGCAGACTAAAGCACCCTCAAATATTTCAGTGTGATTTGGTTGATTCTTTAGCTGGAAACCAGTCTCGGCAAGTGGTCATGAGTGAACATCTAAAATCAGAATCCTCCATTTATTTTTCTCTCTTAATTGTTCAGAAAACTCGACAAATGGGGGAAAGGCTAAAATATTCGGACTTAGAGACTTTGTGGCTCTAAAGAGCTACAAAGTGGATACCGGTCTGGCATGTCCCACATGGTCTCCAACCCCTTCTTTTGCCCTGCGTTACAACCCATCCACTACAGAAAGGAATATATTTTCCAAACGGACTGAAGATTGTCTGGCGTAATCCAATGTAATAGACCACAGCTCCCATCATCTTGAACCAAAGTGATGGGTTTATAGCACAACACATCTGAAGGACATCAGCTAAGAAAAGCTCTTCTAAAGTTTCTAACCGTGAATGCTAGAAAAGAAAATCATCCAGATGAGACTTCACTGGGTGCATGAACATTTCACCCATCTGCATTGGGCCAAGCATTCCAGGGGGCTGAATCTTCCTTTGGAGAACAGGACCAAACTGGTTATATGAGTAAAGGGCACAAGGTGTGGCTCATAAAGATCATGGTACCTGTAAATCTCCATGCCCAAACATCTTCCAAGCAAGGATCCATGGAGTCGTTCTTAATATTCATTTCCCATCAGCATGTATAGTTCTCTCTCAGTGCATGTCATTCCAGAACTTGGATACATTCCCCTCTTGTCACATTCATAAAAAAATAAATCCTCTGGTTTCATTTTTCTTTTTGCCCATAAAGCTGGAAGGTGGGAAGTCACTTCTTTGCCGGTTGTTTAGCCCAAGCTCTTAAGGAAGTGGAGGTAGTTTTAGATCCAACATGCTATAGGCAAAAATGTTCCAGAAGATGGCAAAGAGAACAAACACCATATACATGGAAACGAAGATCCACCATACTGATTGATCTTGAAGTCTCTGCTCATAGTTCCTTAGAATAACCACACCAAGGGTGATTCCAACACCCACCCCACCTAGGTGGGCAACGAAACTGGGATGAGGACATGGAGGATAAGCAGAGGGGTAGAATCTCAGCCATACAGCTCTTCCAAATTCAAAGCTCACTGAAAGAGAGATGAAGCAGTAAGTCACATTGCCCACAATTCATCAGAAACTGCACGGCATTGTCCATTCACTATCCCATAGAATCCCATGCTACTCTGCTGTGGTGCAGCATTTTTTCCTTATCATTTTGAGCAGCATTTTCAAGGAACAGAACAGCTTATTTTGCAAGAATTTCTGGCCATGGGGAAAGATACATCCTCCACCATTCTGGATCACTTTTAAGCCAGACTGTCCAGAGTTCACAAACGTGCAAAATTCACCTTATATGCATATCTATATTTGTGTGTGTGTATGTATGTATGTATGTATGTATGTATGTATG